TTAAAATGATAATTCGCTTAATAAAAGTATATCTGTTAATGAAAATATATGAAATGTATTCATTTTATATTTCAATTATGTTTTCTTCAAAATAATGTCGAGTTATTTATTACCTGTCGACTTTCGTCTGATATATATTTTTATAGTTACATTACGTAGTTATTATCTAATTATCAACTAAATTTAACAACGTGCTCTATGTGCTTACGCTGACATGTCTATGAGTTAAATAATTAATAAACCAAAAACGATTTCGTATTCTGCTCATCGTACTAAATAGAACTGCAATGTATTTGTGTACATATAAAAAAGCATTATTTCCAGTAAAATTTTATTAAAATAGAAAGTTTTACAAGAAAATTTCCATTCGAGCTAATCTAAAAGGAAGATAATAAAAACAAAATAACAATAAAAATTGTTTACTATTCGTGCGTATTCCAAACCAAAGCAATATGAATTTGTTGAATGATTATTTTTTATTATTTTCGGTAATTATTTGTCACTTTCGATCTCGCATATATAGAATTATGAAAAAGCTTGTTGCTATGTTTTAAATGAGGTGAAATATATTTGAAAGCCTAACGTAAATTTAATAGTCAATTAAAAATTAAAAATAACGTTAATAACACCAAGAATTGTAAAAAAATTTGCAATAGAATGCTCAAAACCCAATCCGCAGCTGGAACCTCGCCTAAGCAAATAACTACTTCGACATTTTTTAAATTTATAATCATATATTATTTTTTGACATATTTTAAATTTATTTATTTTGTATATTTGTTATATAACATTGATCCGCGAGATCAAATATTATTTATAATACTTAAAATCTATTCATTACGATGATTCAGACACCGTATATTTTGGGTTTATGCCAACTAAATATAATAGAATAAAAAGGTAAGTCGTTTGTTCACTTTTACTTTTATGTATATTGAATTAAGTGTTTTCGAATCACGTTTGTTAAGTTTGTCAAATTAATTAAAAAAAAAAAATGATCGAGCTAAGTAACCGAACAATGTTAATATAACACCTATCATATATTGTTATTAGTATTTTAAAATAAATTATTGTAATAATTAAATTAATATATATATGAAATATAATATTGAAGTAATTTATTTAATGAAAATAAAAATTTTTAATTTGTATCGATCAAATATATACTTGAATTATAATGTCGATTAAATTCTACTTTTCAAGACAAACGTAATTGCAATATAAGTAAATATACTTAATGCATACAAAATACGTACTTATGATGAAATTTTGATAATTTATGCAATTATGAAATTTAAATTTTATTACTCCATGCACATTGAAAAATAAGAAATTAAAATAAAATCTGGTAATTGCAATAAAAATACATTAACAAAACTTTCAAGGAGAGTATAGTTTTAATTAGTTCTTTAATGTACGATAAAAACATTTTAAGAATTTTAAAAATTATATGTTGACTTTTAAGCAGGCTTATGAATAAGAAAAGTGAATGGTCGAGAAATCTAAAAAATATATCTCGATTTATATACTCGATGACACGGCACAGTGATGATATTTGCAATATAACAAGCAATAAATAGGCCGCTCTTAATTCTATTGTATACTATATAATTACGTGAACGCTTAAATGAAATGAATTCAATTTAACACGAAAGAAACAAGAAAATACCAATTTTACATCTTCTTACTATATAACAATACCAAACGTGTACTAATGTATTACAAAAGATTGCACGCTTGTGTATTGCGATTAATTGAAATAACGGAAAAAATACACATTGAAAAAACAACTTTAACAAACAAAGGAGAAGGTAATCTACATCTAGTTACATAAAGTTTCAATTTTACACTACTGATAATAATGATCTAGGTATAAGCGAGTATATAAGATACTATGATGATTTATATTACTTATAATGCTGTACAGAATATTTATGAAGAGGCCTGCCTTTTAAAAGATTGCCGAGAGAGAGAGAGAGAGAGAGAGAGAGAGAGAGAGAGAGAGAGCGAGAGCGAGAGAAAGAGAGTCGATTGACCACAATTAAAGCTTTATTTGATATCACAATTATATTTGGTAAATGACATAATCTAACTATTATGCACCCCCATATTTTAAAATGTGTATGGTACCATTATTAATTAACAAGCGAATAACCAATTTGCGAATAAAATTCAATACAAGAGAACTCAAATCATTCGTAAAAAAATAAACAAAAAGTGAATCGATACTTATTCTTCTTGTGTTAAATTCGAATAATTTAGATTTTTTAAAACTTAAGATGAAAACAGAAGGCAGTTAATATGAAAATGCGATACATTTAAAATTATTTTTAAAAAGCATCGTTTTTTATCGATGCACGACTCTCATGAAAACCGTAGGCCAGACTAATAGTGGATGTTTTGTAAAATAGTAAAAATAAAATCAAATAAAAAAGAATTATGAATGCAGAGTGATTATACTAATTTGGTGAACAGATGCTAAAATTTGAAATGTGATTATTTCGTTGACAAAAAATTACAAAAATAACAATATGCGAATTACAAGCACAATACGAGATTGTCGGGACATCATTCTTCAAAATCAATTTAATTCCTTAAGGAATTTCGATATGAGTAATCCAACAAATTATATTTGAGAAATTGGGGGATGGGTGAAATAAAGTGAGATGGGAAGAAAAAATAGCAACAGCGAGATTAGTAATGGAAAGAAAAAACTTAGGCAATATGTGAAAAGATAAAGAAAACAGAGCAAAAGACCAAGAAAATCGACGAATTAGATAAAGTAATAGCGAAAAAGAGAAAGCGAGAGAAAGATAGAAAATTGTAGAGAAAACTACATTATGAATACGATAATGAAAACTGGAGAGAATGGGGCGAATGAAAACGTATGTGACAAAGAGATCAAAAGAATTAAAAAGTAATTAAGCGTTAAACGGAATCCTCAGAAAATATTATAAAATGAAAATAAACAACAAATTAAAAGATGAGTTAATCGCGAAAAGAGGTCCGAAAATTTAATTAATTGTGTATGTATACAAACAAAAATAAATATAATATGGCGATTATAAATATGACACTAATACAAAAATAACAATATTGTACCCCTCTGTAAATATTAATATATCATAACATAATAATTATTATTACATGATCTATTATATATATATATACATACATACATATGCATATATATCCGATATATGTATGCGTACTATGAAACATGTTTATATATGTTAATAGTATACATACATGTATATGAGAGATATATGTCAGGTGTATATATATATATATATATATATATATATATATATATATATGTATATGTACATCTAATCAATTCATATTATTACGTTTATTATTGTTTTAATTAATATTATAATTATTATATTACTATTATTATCGCGACGACGAGGATGACACGACGATGATGATGATGAATATTATTATAATTATGATATTATTATTAATAATTAAGAAAAGGTTCACAACGTGCCGTGTGTATGTGGGAATAAAATATATAATATAATGGACATTGTTCAATTCAACCTGACTATAAGTGTATTTATTTTACCTTTCACATTCCATTTCTAAATAGGATATTAATTTCAGTTGATTGTTATTCAATAATAATAAAATGTATAGAAATTTAAAACATATTTCTAATGAACAAAAAGTTTTAGATTTATATTAAATACATGAATTTCAATGTAAATATTAAATTCATATAATTTTGTAATCATTATTATTTATACAATTCGAACAACCTTAATATTGATAAATTTAGTTCATCATATTATAAATAATAATATTATAACTAATTAAAAAAGATCAAAATATCTTGGTCAACTTTGTATGAATTGAGTAATAAGCATAGTTCACGTATAGAATAAATAAAAAATAATAGATTTACGAATAACGTACTAAAAGTTTGTTAAAACTATAACTCAAACGATTTTTCGTTATCTAATTAGTAACATTTTCTTTACTATACGAATAAAACATCATTGTTATATTTTAATTATTATTAACAATTAAAAGTTGTTAACAATTATTGTTTCAAAGATTTTAAAACATATAACAATTCGTATTTTAATAATTCATTTATACAATTATATTTCAGAATATTGATTTTATGTAATATTTTATAAATAACTTATATGTCATGGGTAACGATTTATAGCTTGATTTAATTATTTCTTTAATAATATTAATATTATTAAATATTTAAAATGGTTTATTGTTTTTCTACTTTAATAAAAAATTTTATACATAGTATTATAAAAAGTAAAAGTATAAATAATTATTTAAGACTCTAAAACTTTATTAAATTGCATATTTTAAAATCATGTTAACAATATATCTTGAAACCCTTCGTTTTTAACTAAAAATTTAATTCTGTAATGTTCATTCTAAAACAATGGATTTATAATTAATAAAATATAATATAAGTATTCCCATATTTTTCTCTAAATTGATTATATACTAAATTGAACGTTTTAACTGCTGTGGTGGAATCGTTATATTGACTAATCGAATCATAATAACCATTTAATGAAATAAGCTCACTTTAATCATTTCATCTTCAAAATTTCAACAATTTTTCGTAATATTTGGTAATTTCATAATGAATGCTTTTTAATAATGTAAAATTGAAATATTCATTTCTATAAGCAGTTGACGTGTCACTCAACCCAGCGCCTACATTTTAAATTTGATTCTAACGGATGACATCTAACGGCAATGTATTTGCTAAGCCAGTAGATAGCGCTAAAGTTGAATCCCTCACTCGGTAATCGTGGATTTTAAAAATATAAATATAACTATATATAAAGTAAAATCGTATATATATATATATATATATAGCATAAATGTAGTAATTTTTTTTGTGAAATTTGGAATATCTGTTTTAATCTTTGCGTCGGTAAAGTAGAGTTCTATATTAACGGTTGAATTCGGCACTATACGTAATATAAATATGTCACTCATAATTGACTCAGTCAGGCTGGCTGATATTTGGTGTTAAGTTCAATTGTAATGTAATCCATTAATCTTTAATTGTAAATCAGCTATTTTATAAATCTCCATTTGATGAAAAAGTGAAAAAATGGGAATATTTTTTGCAAAAAAGAAACAATCTAGTCGAATAACGGATCAGGATAAAGCCATTTTAGTAAGTTATTTTTATTTTATAATAATCTTAACCATACTTTTTATTCTCATTATTATTTTAGCAATTAAAACAAACAAGGGATAAATTAAAACAATATCAGAAAAGAATCGAGCAAAGTATTGAGAAAGACAAAGAAATAGCAAAAAAATTATTAAAAAATAATCAGAAAGAGTAAGTCCCTGTGAAATTAATTACTAATATGATGTACTTAATAATAATTTTAAATTTTATTTAAGTATTTACAATCACAATTAATTGAACTGTTGCTTTTAATGTTGTATTTTTTACTTATTGAAATAAATCTATATGTATATGTGTATATGTAAATGTCTGTTTAGTCGAGCCTTACTTTTACTACGAAAAAAGAAGTTTCAAGAACAAGTTCTGATTAAAGCAGATGGACAGTTAGAAAATGTGGAACGTATGGTACATGATATAGAATTTGCTCAAGTAGAAGTTAAAGTAATAGATGGACTCAAATTTGGTAACGATGCCCTTAAAAAATTACATGCAATTCTCTCAATTGACGAAATTGAAAAAATTATGGATGAAACAAAGGAAGGTATCGAGAAACAACAAGAAATCAATATTATTCTAACTGGAGCCTTAAGCGATGAAGACGAAGAAAATATCGAAGCTGAATTAGATGATCTTATGACAAAGGATACAAAAGAAGTTGCCCCTGAATCCGATGATGAAATTTTATTACCGGATGTACCAACAGATAAAAATAGTAACAAAGAAGGTACCATAAACTGCTTATTTAATTATATACTTGATTTATTTAAGTATATAGTTTTAATCATTTTAACAGATATATTACATTATTTACAGTATCCAGCAACAAATTACAAGAACCTGTGGCATTGGAATCATAAATTTAAGGGTTATTTGTTTTGATATCACTTACCTGTATATATGTACAGTTAATTTAATATTTAATACTTTTTTTAAAAAACTTCAAATGTTTATAAGTAAAAGTGATATTTTATAAAAATAAATATTTTAAAAGAATTTTGATAAAATTGAATGGAACTACTTAACATTATTTGGACTGTAGGATTTTAATATACTATATAATGTATACATTCTATGTGTTAACATTTGTATTATACTAGTCCTATTGCATAAGAAATTGTCATTGTTCGAATGACAATGTGATGGAAATTTACAAATGTTCATTAAAATTTAACTTTACTTTTTGTACAAATGTATCTGCTTATATAATCATTCGAAGCTGTAATATATCATCTATTCTTTATGATTTTAATTAAATGTAAAAAGATATTTAATAAAAAAAATGATACACTACACCGATAAATCAGATTTAATGTCTAGAAATTCTTCATCAACGAGAATAAATTTACTTATAGCATTCATTTATATTATATTTTCTAATGTTTATATACATTTTGATCAAGCATGTAGGAAGTGAAATTAACATTTGATATTTTATTCAAAATATTTTCTTTTTTTTTATATAATATTTTGAACTCTGATAAATTCAATTTCATGTATAGATTGATATTTGAGTATAAATATTATAAAACCTTTTTTCTCCTAGTGAATCCCTATTATGTTTTAATCTTTGACATCATTTTTTATGTTGTCACTTTATGTTAAAATATATACATAGAAATTTTGTATTTATTTGTGTTTGGAAATAATTATATAATTTCTACTGACCATGAATTAATGTTTATTTAATCAGCAATCAATGTATGGATATTCTACAAATGTGAACGAGTATTATTATTTTAAGAGATTGTATTTTATGATTAGTATTATCATGCAATTACTAAGTAAGCAGAATAATATTTTGTATTCTATTTCTATTTCTGTCGCATGTAATTATCATATTTTTTTTTTTTATCTAGGTATCAACCGTTTCAAATAAGAAACTTTAATGGTTAACAGTTAACGTAATGTGAATTATTTTCATTAGAACACATATAATAAGTAATATTTGATTGATATACAAATAACAGATATTTGAAACTATTTTAAACATTAAAATCATTAAGTAAAAAGAAAAACTTATACTATTACTTTTTCAAAATCTCATGCCTCACGCCTAAAAGTATAGTATAAAACTTAATATATATATTTATCATTTTATGAATATTGTCTATTAGCATTGTTTCCAATAATTAATTTAGTTCAATCAATTATTTAGTTACTGAATTTTTTTATGGTATATTAAATACATTGTACAATAACTTGTGTAAGAAACCTATAGTATAGATAATTTGAAAATAAAATAATTTAAGATAATGATAATAAAAAATGAGTACATTATTTCTCTTGAATTTTCTATAATTATCTTTTTCTTTTATAAATTTGAACTTGAAAATAGTATTAACTGTAGTAATTATATTTAAGTCTAACAATTTTTCTAAAATTTTAGAAAAATTAATAGCATTTATTATCATATAATTGAAATTATATATGATTATTATTAGCATAGAAATCACTTTTATTTAGATTATTGAAAAATGATTAATTAATTTTTCTACTTATATGAAACTTATAACGTTTGCTATGTTTTTTTTTCAAATTTTATGCATTTTCATTTTTCCATTATTGTAGGTTTAATTATTTAAATCTGAAATTATTGGAATTATGATATTCAAATTATTGTATTAGAAAAACATATTTTCGTAATTTACACACAAGCAATTATAAATAATATATAGATTTAGACAGAAATAGAAATTCGAAATAAGTACATTGTAGTTTAAAAATATTACAAATAATTATGTGAAATGATTAAAAAATATTGCTATTTTTAAAATATTCATTGTATAAATAAATTTTCAAATACATCGAAATCATATAAGATCATAGAAAATAATATAAATTGTACAGTAAATATTTTAATAATTTTTTTATATTCCTTAATTATGACTATGATCAATGTAATTATTACCTTGAAGTAACTGCTAAATATAGACTAATAAACGAATGGAAAGGCAGATAAGCGTGATGAATGATTTCTTGACAGATTATTAAATTACTCATAAATGTAGCTAGAAAATAAAATTGAAAGGGTTTTTAAATTCATAAGATGGAAATACAACAATCGTAAACTATAAAATATAATATTAAGCATTGTTTAAGAAAGGATTTCATTAGTATATCCTGTTTATGAATTTATTAAATAAATAAGTACAGGAAAAGTTTATAACTTGTTACATTAAGAAAAAATTATAATCTGTATAAGGGTACATATACTTAAAACATAAACAATTAAATAAATAGTTCATCGATTTACTGAAATATTATTCTTTTCTATTTTTTGCTTATAATTCATTCGTATTGAAATATTTATTCATGTTCTGTCTAAATATATTTAGTAAATTTTTCAATTGAACGAAAATTTTAATAGTTAATTTTTTTAATTTATTATTAAATTTCAATTATGTTCTAATTGTCTTCGCAAATATGATGCAAGTTCATTCTACGGTTTAGTTGACTGTTTATTAATTGTGAATATTTTAATTGTACGTTTAAAAATTATTATAGTGTTAAAAATAAATAAATATGCATAAGCATTTAGTTTCCTTATATTAGATATATTATTTTAATACTCCTACGGGATTTATTTCCGTTGTGAAAAAATAATAATAATCAAAATAAAAATACAGATATTTTTATAGATATATTATATTCAATAACGATTTCAAAAGAGATTGTAAAAAGAGGTACTTTATAATTTTGATTTTTAAATAAAAAATCTGATGGAAATAATTGTTAAATTGGATAATAAATATGTTACTAAGATATACAATAAGACATTAATAAAGAATTAATAACTATTTCATATGTCATGCATTGAACAGCTTAAATTGATTGAAAATCTTAAATTTTTTAGAAATTGTGGTTAAACTAGTGTAAATGAAAATTAATATTTATTTTAAATAATAGAATACATACAATATTTGATTTATATGTCACTATGGTCATAAAAGTACTCAAATATAATAATCAGTATATCACTTTATTGAATATGATACTATAGTTTTAACGTTTATCCGTACGTAGCTTTGAACTTAAATAAGATGAGTTTATAGTAAATGTTTTCTATACTGCAGTGCACAATCGACAATATTTAAATATGAATTATGTAGTATTAATAGATTAAGGATTGCTCAAAATATTACAGAGACGATATAAGTTTTGAAATTCCTATAGTAGCATAGGACACTGTATTTGGAAATATTTTGTGCACTCTTAACTGACAACACTAACATATTGATATTCGTAATTAACTCTTTTCTAACCATAAAACCATAACAAGATTTAACATTCTAATCTGATTTTACATAATAAATTTTTTATAATTGTAATGTTATTAAAGATATGAAGATAATTGAAATATTATTGAATTAATATACAGTTTTAAATGGCCACAGATAATTTTCTAGACAAGTATAAGCTGGTATAAAATAACAGTAAAAGCTTTTGGAAATATAACTAATTACAAGGAATTACGGAGTCGATATTGTATTTATAAAAGAAATTGAACGACTAAATGATGGATTGATTGAAAGCCTATAACAATAACCTGGTAATAACGTTTAATCTGCGATTCGCTATCCGAAAATAACAATGGAAAAAAATATAATGTAATTGCAATGGCAATCTATGATTATCAATGAAGATCATGGATAACAACAAAATTGCAATCCATTAATAGTTTTTAATGCGCAATACAAAGTATTGTGTGATGTTGAGTTTCGAGCCGATAAGACGTTAAACAAGATATTGGTCATATAATTGCAGTATTATGTACGAGTAATATTTGAATAGCAATTTTCGTATTGTATCTGATTGATATCTGAACATAGGAAGACAGTGGACTTGGCAGTTGTTCTTATATTATTAGACAAGGTAAAACGATCGTTCACCAACCATGCTGACTTTTGCCTAGTCTATAAGTTATCATTCCTTTGAAATCCACGCAAAAGTATCACTTAGTGGCATATTCTAAAAAGTGTTACAAATTTGCAAGAAATAAGATAAAATATATACAATTATAATATACAAATCGTATTTTATATAATGTTAACAACTTTTTAAGATTACACATAACATAATGGAATTTATTCATTTACTAATTTTTCGATAACTTTGCTTATTAAGTTTTGTAAATTTACTTTATAGTCTAAAATAGCATTAAATTTTGACACAATATTAGCAAATATATTTTTATAGTACATTTAATGAATTAAATAAATTTTATTATTTTCGAATAAATGTAAAACAATCCTTACAATACTTGCAATAGGTTTTAAGAAATAATATAATAATTATTTCAAGATTATGCATTTAAAATATATTTCAATAGTATAAATAATGACTTTTTCATCTTTCTCGATAAATATAGTATAATAAAGTAATTTTAAAATAAAGTAATTTTTTATCAATATTTATAGCAGTAATCTTTTAACTTATATATTTATGAAAATGACGAAATTCAATTTGAATTAAATTCAAGTCATTATAACATTTTATAAATTATATCCATTTGATGAACATTAATTAACACTATAAGTTATTCGTCTTTATTCTTGTAAATATGTTGGTAACAATTTTTTTATAATTAAGCTGGTAAACTATATGAGCTCTACACGTGTATATATTATTGTAATAATCGGATTGTAGTATAACGATTACACCCACGCTAATAAGTTCGATTAAAGCTCACATTCATTCGCGTATAGAAGTTCCGTAACTCTAACTCCATGACCTTCGATCCTATTACTCGTATAGAGAAAGGTAATATATCTCTGTCGTTCGTGAAGCAATGTCAGATATCAGAGATGCTTGTCTTGCGCGTTTTGCTATCGTTGATATAAGTGACGTTGTAAGTGTT